GGCGCCTGAATCACCCCTCTTCCACTTTGATACACGATTTTACCTAGCCGTCACAGCCACTTACTGCCATTACTCCCCCCCCCCCATATTTACACAGTCCGCTCACGTAAAATGACTAACCGTGCACGATTTAGCTCATTACTCATTCGTTTAAATCTGTACCTCACTTCTACATATGAGATGAGAATTTATCGAAATAACGCATATGCTCACCAAATGCTTTTCCATATTGTTTCATGGAAATTTTCGCAACTTTAAAACACTCCAAAGTCGCAGTCCAAAAGGCACATTAGTTAACTGACCACGCAGGGTCAGCACGACTTGAATAAATAACTACTCTAAAGCAGCGGAGGCTGTCAGATTTATAGTCCCTTTGAATTTCTTATCATGGAAGTGTTTATGTCCCATCTGATAGACTCAAGCTGTGTACCACCTGTGCTGGTAATTTACTCTAATTCGTGACTTTTATTCTGATTGATGACTAGATATTCAATTACTTAATTAAGAGCAAGACAATCTTGAAACGGTACTGCGTCAACCTACACACACTCTCTTAACCAATCCCTCGCTATCATAACTTGAACGGAGTCGCTTTCTTGCGATCCCAGTCACTCTTTCGAGATGAGTTTGCATCGGAAAACCAATGAATCGGTGTATAGCCATCCATTTTTGAATATATGTCGTACGTGACCTATTTCATTCACCCTGTCTGATCAAGGAAATTACCGTACCTTGTGCGAAAAATGCGTCTGCTTGTTTAATTTATGCTAATTGTTCATAAATGTGAGCGAAGACGGGCAATGAGATATATTTTGACAATTACCCATTCCGATAAGTGTCCTTGAATTAGGTTGCGCATCTGCGCGTCGTATTTTGATAGTTGGATAGTTAACTTTCCGATTTTTATTAAACAGAGCTTGTCTCACAGAAAAATTTACTTCTGTCTGATGATAACTGTAGGAATCTTTTTGCCAACAGACAGGTTGGCCTCAGAGAAATAGATGTTTTATCGATTTTTAAAAGTCAGATTAGCAAATCCGTGTGATTTCTTGTTGTGGATAACAGTACTAACGTACAAATGCTATCCTTTGTCTAAATGGTTGGAAAGTGCTGTGCCATTTAGAAAACGCCATGTTTTGTCACCGACGAGACGACAACCATAGAATCATTGCTTTGGAACAGTACTTTTGTGCACCCTTAATCACAGAAGGTAGCCTACAAGTAAAAACGATATTGTGAAAATAGACACTGTGTAAAGAGAAGTGAATGCGGTTGAAAAATACCAGCATTTTTTTAGCGGCTTGAAAAACCGGCCAAACAATGTCAACTTTTGTTTGACTTCACAGCGCAAAAATGTCACGTGCACACACGCCTGTCAGAGAATGCAGTGTTGGAGCACTTTTTAAAAGGGAGACTTATTGGAACTTTTTCAGCTGACCGAAAGTATATTCGTAGCTGGCTTTTGTTGTGGACGTCCAGTTTATTCG